CCCAGCTCTCCCCCTCCCCTCCCAATCGAGCCACCGCCTCCAACCAGAAGTCATCATTGGGATGACTCAAGCTAAAGCCCTTCTGGAGGCTGGCTGGGGGCAAAAGAGAAGATAAACGTCCTTTAGACTCATAGACCCAAGGGACTGAATGGGAACCATTAGTGGATGTCAAAGATTATGGACAGATCAGAAAGGACAAGTTTAGGCGTACAGAGGATCCATTCACCTACTGACCAGTATGCCTAAACTTCAACCGTCTTTCGAGTCATCTTTCATCCATTTGTGTGTTTTTCTATTTCTTTTTTTTTTTTTATATTGAAATGATTTTTTAAAAACCAATCTGACTATGAAGGCTACTGCCTACAAAAGCCAAGGCAACCCCAAGAATGGCAGATGGAAAGATGCAGACAGCCTGAGTCTTTACTGACGTCCGTGGCCTGCTGCATCAACCAGACCTGAAACCTAACCCACATAATTTATAGACACACATAATTGAATCAGGTGTGTTTGGGGACAAGTTGTTTAAGAGGGCCTTAAAAAGCCAAAAAGAAAGACGACCAAAAGAAATAGGGAAACCAAAGAGAGACAAATAAGCTCCCAAAAGAGATGTGAAAGAAACGTTTGACAGTGGGGAATGACAATGGAAATTGATATGACAATGATAATGGAAGGCGTTTTCAAAGTTCTGAAAATTTTTTAAATCTACAAACATTACAGTGTTTTATAAAGGTAATACATATTTTCAAAATGTTTCCTTTTCAAAGGAGAGGTGGTTGAGTTTTAAGGCAAATTGATTGTTAGCCGAAGAGACCTTAGGTCAGTTTTTCAATAAATTGTGATGAGCTTTAAAAAAGGGTGAAAGGTAGGGGGCTGGGGAGAAAGAACTAGAATAAAACACAGAACAGAATGCAAAATATGATATCACGTAGTCAAGGGAAATAGTTTTGAAGCTCTTGTCTCAGTTGTGTTTATTTGTGTGTGTTGGACTGGGATGTAAAATGTACCTCACAGTGAAGACTGAGGTACAAGTAAAATATTGTTTTAGGTCAAGGTATCTGTTACCAGGTCACCCCCTTCCCAGCCGCTCACTGCCAGCCCCCACCACTGGTAGAGTGGGAAGCTCAGGGATATGAGCCACTTTCAGACCCCAACCTGGGTTCTCTTAGGATAACGTGGGAGACAAGGCCAGAGAGGAGGGGCGGGGAAGCTAGGAATAAGGCTGGAGTGACCCTGAAGCCTTGCCTTTGGGTGCCCAGGGAGAACCGATACCCACCCCTCAGTTTCCTAAACCACCATTTGCCCTGGAGCTCTGGCGCTGGGGCAGCTGGGCCTAGCCCAGAGGGAGTGGGGGGGCTTATCACCCGGAACACTGCAGATGGGTTCACAGGCAAGTACCCACCCAGAGCGCTGGTCTCCAGGGTCAGAGTGATGATGCAGAACAGGTTGACGTTGGCGTTGTAGACAGTGAACTCCACAAACACGGCCCTGGTCAGGCTGTCCAGCCAGGTGTTGTCAAAGAGATACTGGAGAATTCTGTGGAAAGAAGGGCATTTAGGAGCATCTCTGTCCTTAAGTGGCTCCCTGTCCCCTCAGCCCCAGGGAGGAGGCCAGGGCTTCCTGTTGAAACTTCTTCCTCTGCCTCTGTTCTGTTCCCTGGGCCACAGGGCCTTGGGGCTGCTCCTGGGAGTGATCACAGTTTTCTATACCATGGTGCAGTGTGGTGGCGCCAATGGTATCCTGGCTATTAGAGCAGAGGTTCTCTAGAGTCCCCAGACTGGCAGCATTGGCATCATTTGGAAACTTGTTAGGAATGCAGGTTCTCAGGCCCCACCCTGACCTCTGGAATCAGAAACGATTGAGGTAGGGCCTGAGGACCTGTCCTTTGGTGAGCCCTTTAGGGGATTATGGTGCTTTTTAAAGTCTGAGGACCATGGTGTTAGAGGAGCCACATAAAACGGCAGGGGCTTAGGCAGGCAGCAGCTGCCGCTGCCAGTGTCCTTCTTGGGCTGGCGAGTCACATGAGACCAGTTCCTAGAGATCTGCCTGCTGGTGTGGTGGACAGAGGGCGTGCTGGAGAAACCTGGATTCAAATCCTGCGGGCAAGCTAATAACTTTTTCAGGCCTCAGCTTCGTCATCTACAATGGCGTTAATACCAATGCCAGGGTCACCGTGAAGAGAAAATGGAATCTGTGTGTGTATGTGTAGTAATGATAGCTTTTATGACTTAAAACAATAATGATGGGACTGTTTTAAAATATGCCATGCTTCTGTGGGTCTGCGTCTTGCTTGGTACATTGAAGCAGGGAGAGATGATCAGAATAGACTGTTCTTAGCCTGTCCTTCATCTCAGAGGACCCCTGCCCGTTGTTCTCTTAGGGGTTTGATACCTGTGTTGTAGGCAGGATGGTAGCCATGCCATCATGAACAACCTCAGTGTGTAATAATACAATGGCAGAGACTAGGGCTACACAGCTAATAGGAGCAGTGCCAGGGTTTCAAACCTAGGGCTCTCTGACTCTAGAGTGCACTGAGAGAGGCAGTCTGCATGGGCCCCGAGCATCCCTATCTGGGTGTTCCAGAAATGCCGGGCCCTGGCTGGGCTTCACCCAGGTCATTTCTCAGGGCTGTGTTTGCAGTGGCCACCCTTGAGGAATGAGGTAGTATCTTTCTTTGGACAAACAGCAGTCTTCTGCCTCTGTAAAAACTGTGAACACTTCCAAGCTCACTGTTCTCCTTTGGTCCTGCAACTCATATCACATGCAAGCATCTATCATGGCCCTTGGAGGGGACTGACTCAAATCACCATGAAGCTCTGTTATTGCTTTTGCTCTAAGAAAGTCCTCTGTCTCTAACGCAGAAGTCTCCTGTCTTCATCTGAACAGTAACAGGCTAGCTCATTAGCATACAAGTAGGATAAAGCCTCAGACCCTGCATGATTCTTCATAAGGTTAAGCCTCAACCACTCCTCACTTGCCTGCTGGACAGCTTTATGTGGCTCTAGCAGAGGCCACCTGACTGAGATCATTAGGCTCAAAATGTTGAAGGGGCACTTCCCTTCCAACTCTGAGACTGCACAGTTTTCAGGGTCCTGAAAATATGACTTGAATCCCCCCCAATGACATGAATGAGCCTGGCTCAGCCCTATTTTGAAGCCTGCACAAGCCAATCAGATCTGGACTCCAGCAAATGGCTTTCCTCTGCTGCACGAGTCAAGTCACTCTTACCTTGCTGCACTTTGGCGATCCGTCCCCAAGGGGACCACATAACCTCCTCCCCGGTACACAGTGAGTTTGCCCCAGATGGGATACCCTCGGCGCTGTTTCTGGCTCTGGTACTGCCAAGCCTGGGAAAAGCCCTTGCCGCTATTGAGGTTGGAGGCATTCCAGCATTCCCCATAGTCTGACAGGTCTTCAGCATCCAGGGAATATGGTGCACGGCACCCATCAAGAGAAGCCCTCAACTGTGGGGCAAGAGGGCAAGAGTTTTCCCGGACTCTCACTTGGCGAATCTGGGCACTGCCAACCAGTTTAGAGTTCCCATCGGTGATGAAGCCTGAAGATTGAAAATAGGTGGGTGAATCTAGCAAGCAAAATCATCTCAACACATTCCAAGCTCCCTGGCCTGGATGCTAACTTAAATTTCAGTGTACCCATTGTAGAGGCAGCCAAGAGTAGTTCATGGCCAACCACAGGCTACATTCATCACCGTCTCCCCACCCTGGACCTGATCTACTTCCTGCATGACTTCTCTTAGAAGTATCCTTACCACCCAGACATCAACTTGGAGACTATCTGTACCCTTTTCCTCAAGGCCATCAATTCTACATCTTCCTCATTGTCTCCATCCATCCCTGTCTCTCCATCTCTCATGCCCCTCACCCCTGCATCAGCTCCATTATTTCTCCCCAACATACTAACTTACCCACCCTCTACTCCAAATTCCACATTCCCAGAATGATCCTTCTGGAAGCTTGATTGTACCACAAGTTTGATTATGTTACTCCTTTATGTAGAAACCATCAATGGCTTCTCATTTCCTTGAGCATAAAATATAACTTCAGGACCTTTCATGATCTGGCCCGTTTCTCTCTTCTGCTTGGCTTCTCACTGGTACTCAGCTCCTATCCCCTACTGTAGCCACACTCAACACTTTGTAGTTCCAAGAACGTGCCACGGTGTTTCAGGCTTGTCTTTTCTCATGTTGTTCCTTCTGCCTGGTTACACCATCTCCGCCTAGCCAATTCATGCCCAGTTACTTTTCATTTAGGAAGTCCTCCACTCTGCATCAAGGGAGAGTTAGGGTCCCTCTCTGTGCACTCACAGTCTTCTGACTGTTTCTTCTTTCAAGCATATGGTCCTATGGTTATTGGTTCTCTATAAGGCTGATGTTGACAGAGACCCACACCTGTTCCTAGAAAGAAGGGTATACCAGGTGGCTGACATATGCCCTGGGACAAGGGGACAGTACCTGGGTGATGACTGTACAGGTTTCTCACAAGGGTGGTGTTGGCCCATGTGAAGAACTCCTGGAAGCCCAAGACAGCTGAAAAGCCTTTGGTGAAGCTGTGCTCGAGGTGTCTGTTGAAGTGGTAGGCACTGGGGTCCCTCTGTCCATAGGCCACCAGCAACAGCATCCACAGGAAGCCCAGGTACGCTGGGAAAGGAAGCACAGCACCTGGTCAGGCAGAGTCCCAGACTCCCATGAAGCCCAGGGCAGGAAATAGGATAGTGCATGGGATCAAAACACTTGAGATTTTGTAGACCAATTACTCGTCCCTCTGGTGGCAATGGAACTGATTTTTATAAAGACAACAGAAAGAAATAGAGTCCATAGACCATGAACCTCCTGCCTAGGTTCAAATCCTGGCTACGGCACTTCCTATCCACATGCCCTTCCCATGTGATTTAACCCCTCTGTGCCTTACTCTCCTCATCTATGAAATGGGGATAATAGTTCTATTATGCAGAGTTGTGATGAGGGCGTCAAGAGATTAATATTTGCAAAGCATTTAAAATAGTGCCTGCGCAAGTTCATGTTATATGTGTTTCTTAAATAGAATTTTTAAAAAATGGGGCAATTTCCATGTTGTAATGTTGAGGATAGAGTTATAAAGATGTTAGATGTGTTCCCTGCCCTCATGGAGCTCACCTGTCTGGTAGGAGACTGGTATGATGTAAGGGCCCATAAAAGATTTAGTTTAGGAGGCTGGACAACAGAATCATGTGGGGAATGAGGAGCCTTACTTAATCAGAATCTCTGGGCTCTGGGCCTGGGAATCTGCATCATGGAAACCCCTCCCCAGGATGACTTCTCAGGAATCTGCCCACACCTCTCAGAACTGTTCATTCTGCACATGCTACTCCTTCTGTACAAGCCCCCCTGGTCTCTGCCTTGGCCAGGGTCATGCTCAGCCAGTGGGAAGGCAGGCTAAGAGTGTTGCAAGGTCAGTGCTCTCCTTAGGAGCAGCCTTCACCAGTGACCTGGTGGGTGACAACTTGGGGTGTCTACTACATGCTCCCACCAAGGTCCCCAGCAGGACTGAGCCCCAGCTGTCCACATGGAACACACTCATCACCCCACTTTCCACTGGCTTTTTTCTCTCCCCTGCACTTCCCCCTTCCCTACCAATGCTTCCCAGAATCACCCCCCAAACCAACCAGCTGCACCCAAATCTGCTTCTGGGGAACCCAGACTAAGACACATTGAGGCTTGAAAGCTCTTGGCCAGAGGGCCAGAGACATAGCCTTTGGGCTGAGAATGAAAGAATAAGAGGTTTAGCCAGAAGAAAAGATAGGGAAGAGAGGTAAGCACGTTCCAGCAGACTAGATAGAACAGCCTGGCCAAATGCCTGGGGTCAGGAGTGGGCAAGGTGTCCCACGAGCTGTAGAATCCTGTGTTACTGGAGCTCAGGACACAAGGGGCTCAGAGAGGTGACATGGTATGGGTGGAGCCACAGTACGGAGTTTGGACTTGATCCTAAGGGTCATGAAGGGCAGTTGAAGGATTTTAAGTGTAGGGGAGAAGCTGGAGTGAGTTGGTATCTAGGGAAAATGTCCAAGACGCTGTGTGGGGCTCATCAAAGGTTGCACAGTGTCTTTTCAAGTCTGTGTTGAGAACCTGCAGACAGGAAGATTGCTCATGGGTAATCTTGGCTGCCTACCCAAGATTTCTCTAATTAGGGCAAATGCTTTCTGTTCCTTGCGTTGGGTGGTTTTCATCTTCTCAATGTCAGTGGCCAGTGGCGGCTGGTAGACATCCTTTCTGCTGTTTCTTCGTACTCGGAACAAGGCAGAGGGGTCTGTGAAAACAAGGACACTGCTAGCACATGACCATTGCGATATTCTTCCTACTGGCCTCCCCACTTCCACTTTTTTTTTTAATCCTGGATATTTTTCCCCCCATTGCTTTTCAGAGAGAGTGGAAGGGAAAGAGAGAGAGAGAGAGAAAAAGACATCGATGTGAGAGAGACACATCAATTAGTTGCTTCCTGCACATGCCCTGACCAGGGCCAGGGATTGAGCCTGCAACCGAGGTATGTGCCCTTGGCCAAAATCGAACCCAGGACCCTTCAGTCCACAGGCCAACGCTCTAACCATTGAACCAAACCGGGTAGGGCCCCCACTTTCACTTTTGACCTAATGCCTTTGATCTCCAAGAGTGGCCACAGTAATCTTTCTAAAATCACAAACAGACCATGCTGCTCTCCTATTTAAAACACTTTGAAACCCTAGCATTGACCCAGAACCTACAAGGCCCTTGCATGACCTGCTCCCCACTCACCTATCTGCCCTCATCTTGCACCATTACCCCCCCAGTTCCCCATGCTTCGGCCACACTGTAAATAATTATTATAAAATGACAAGCTGTGTTCCACTTCATGGCCTCTGCACATTCCAGTGTGCAATCCCTTCCTGCCCCCATTCTTCAGGAGCCAACTTAGGTACCACCTCAGTGGAGAGGCCTGCACTCTCTTATTCTCCCACACCCAGTTCTCATCACAATTCACACTTACATGTCTACTTGTGTATTTAATTATTTAATGTGTCTCCCTACATGGGCTATTTATCCCAAGGGCAGCTGCCTGTTCCATCCCATCGGTGCTCTGTTGCCTGGGGCTGAGGTGGGAACAGGGATTGACTTCAAATGGGCAAGAGGGAATCTTCTGGGTGATGAAGCTATTCCAGGTCTTAATTGTGATGATGGTTGCACAACTATATAAATTACTAAAATCAATGAATTATACATTACGAATAGATTTCATGTAGATTATGTTCCCAGGCCATCCACTGCCTGGCACACAGCAAGTACTCCCTGAATAATTGCCAAAGGAATGACTTAATGAATATTTAATTAGTCTGGAGGCTGGCCTCTCCTTGGAGAAAAATTACTCTTGTCTCGGGAAGAAGATTTTAATGGACTTTTGGATCTGCGAAGCCAAAACCCTAATGTAGAGTGGAAGAATACAGGCCCACTCGGGGGTTATAACTGCAATGCATAATGATGTAGATACATGAGCTTTTGTTAGATCCTGTTTTATTTTCTCTGAAGCTCAAGATCTCTGCATAGATTATAAGAGTGTTAATTCTGTTTTCTTTGCTTGTTTGCTTTTGTAATTCTCTTGTTGTCAGCACCCTCAGGAGTTTCGATTGGGAAGTGAGAAATCAGGTTGGGGGAAGGGGTATGATCAGGGGGCTCCTCCAACAGGGCTCATCTTGCCTATGTTCTAGTAAAACTACAAAAACAGGGGGTGGGCTAGGTTCGGGCCCCTGGCTATCCTTTGCAGACTCCTGTCCTAGAACTCTAACTTACAGTGACTCTTCGCAGCCCACCTACAAGCTTGTTTTTTTTTTTTTTTTTTTTTTTTCCGTTTTTCATTCTAAAGGCCAGGGACCTGAGCCTTGGATAAAAAAGCTGTTTGGGATTATACAGAGAATGATAACCAACACAGAGCATGGGCCCCAAGGTGCCTCTTATGGCCAAGGAGTCACGCTTAGGTCAGAGAGAAAGGCCCTGGTGGGGAAGGAGTAAGGTTGCTCAGGGGACAGTGAAGGAGCCACTTGTTTCTGGATGGTTTGCGGATGGTTCCCCAGCCAAGGGAGAAGGGCTGAGGGGCTCTCTGGGGCTTTCTCAGCTTCCAGGCCCTTGCCTGCATATGTGCTCCATTACCTGGGCTGGTCAGACATCCCAGGAGAGGGGCGATAGGCTCCTCTTCATCCCCCACGCTCTTCAAGACCAGTGCAAAGAAGGCAGCAAAGCCCAGCACCTGGAAAATACCCACTGTGAGCCCTAAGCCCAAGTTGGAAACTCTCTATCAACCTCTGGTCTGAAAGGGGGTGTAATTGGGGCCACGTTTGTGTCCTGGGCACAGGAGCCACACTCTGGGGAAGTCAGGTGGGAACCAGCCCATCCTCTGTAGAGAAGGGACATATTTATGAAGTGTGAGGGTCAGGGCCTGTGTGTACCTGGCTTGTACCTCTAGTGTGGTGACTTACTCTTCCCTCCTCCCTCCCTTTGCTCCTGTATTAAGTGATTAGCTCCCTTATACTGTCGTTGCAGGAGGGATTAATGGGCCAGATTTTCCAGCCACCAGTGGGAGTGAAGTGAAGCTCTTGCAATATCTTCAGAAAGTGAATTTTCTAAGATTCTCAGGGAAAGATGGGATGTGGCAGAAGATTTTATCGGCATGGAGTTACATTTTCTGGGTTCCAAAGTCCCCTGCCCCTTTAGCCAGCCCTTTTCCAGGTGCAGCTGGGGTTCCAGCAGAGCCAGAAACAAGGCCAGTGTCCAGAGTTTTCTTTCTATGTTGCAGCCGAGTGGTTCAGCTTTTAGGCCAGATTAAAGTCTATTAGTCCATGTGTGGAGCAGAGCCTGGCCATGTGCCATGCCCCTGCCACAGGAGAGCCAAGAAGGCCCGGCACCCGTGTGTGTGTGTGTGTGTGTGTGTGTGTGTGTGTGTGTGTGTGTGTGTGTGTGTGAGAGAGAGAGAGAGAGAGAGAGAGAGAGAGAGAGAACCTCCTCTGTTTGGAAGTTTTAAATATTCACGTGCACTTGCAGTGGCCATGCTTATTCTGGCCACTGACTCCCTCATGGGTGTGACTGCAGGGCAAGCAGGTAGGCATCATCCCATGTCACTCACACCTCACTGGGCATGCGTCTAAACTGCCTTTGTCCTGTCCCTTCCCCCATCAATCAGTGGGGAACAGACTTGGAGTGTTAAATGCAGCTTTTTGGCAAAGCTGTATAAAAGGCATGCCTATATCTAGCCTTCCTTTTCCTTCTCTCCTGTAAAATAATAACCAGGTTGTTACAGCGGCATCACTATCTCTGCTATAAGGGTTCAGAACAGACCTCTCCAGTAATTCTCTTTGGCATGTGAATAGTTTTGAGCTGAGGGAATCCGGACCCTGCAAGCTCACGATAAATTTTTACCTCTCTCTTAAATAACTTAAATTAGGGGCCTTGCCCATAGTAGGAGTTAATACTGGAAATAGCTTTTTATGACCTATTTGTAGGGCAGGGTAAACTTCTGATTGCTGAATATCTGCTCTTATGTTCTGCAATGACATTCCTCTCCTCTGTAGCCCCAAGGAGACCCTCAGCTCAGAATGTCATATGTGCGTCATTTTCCCTCTCTGTCTTTGAACCTCTCATGTATGTGGGTTCTCTGATTCCTTTGTGTATACCTGGTTCCCATGCATATGTATGTATTAAATTCGGTTATTTTTTCTTGTTAATCTGTCTCACGTAGACTTAACTATTAGGCCAGCTGAAAGAACCTTGAGGGTGGAGGAAAGTTTCTTCCTCCCCCACAGTACCTACAGTACACAAATATAATAGGATTCTGTGGTTTAGTTGGGGACAAAAAGGCCCAGGACTCTGTTCTTAAAATTCTCAGACTAGATTGGGAGGTGTCAGGAATTGTTGAAGTCTTCTGATGAAGGCTGTTCAGGACAGGGCAGAGGACCAAAGGGTAGAATGTGGGTAGGGGATTTGGTGAGTCTCATAGGGGTAAAGATTCACTGAAAATGTCCCCTCCTTTCTTCAGCTTACCCCAACCCACACACACAGTATTCCTACCACCTGATTTTTTTCTAGGGGAAGCTGTGATCCTGAACTCCAGGCCGGGGCTCAGTATTTCTTCCACTCCAACAGTAACTTTACATTTCAGAAATAGGAGTGTATCTTCCAATTGTTGTACACATTTAATGACTTGGGGTTTTTTTATCTGAAGGTCAAGTTCCTATAAATTGCTGGCCTTTCTTACAGTCAAAAGTATCTTAGAATTGAGGAAATTTGGTATTATTTCTATTCACATGTGTAGTCTAGGGCAGGATGTTAATGACCTTACTTCTTAATTCGGGTTTTCTCATCTATGAAATGGAAGAAAGGTCATTCCTGAGGGAGATTGTGATGATGAAATGCCTGCATCTCAGAAAACCACTAAGCCTGGCCCAGAGTGAGTGTCCAAGAACTTGGGTCCTCCTGGTGATTGTCTTCATTATTGTTCCTGCCCTGGGACCTGCACAGAGGTGGTGTTCCATGTAGGTTTATTGAATGAATAGGTGAAGGAACAGCTGAAGTAAGGACAAGGAAACTGGCAGGAGAGAAAGTAAGGGGTCCTGACCTTCAGGGGCTGGGTGACAAACACACTCTCCACAAAGGAGATGGCCATGGAGATGAGCCACTTGAGGGAACTGGTCCGCCCGTAGTGCAGGCCATATAGCATGCTGAAGAAGGCTGCCACACTGCTGGTGGCTGCCACCAGGAGCCAGCCCACCAGGACACACCACCAGGGCAGACCTCGAGGGGGCTTGCTTACTCTCTGGGAGCTGTAATGGAAAGTGGATACAGTCAGGGTGACACCACCTGCCAGGGCTCAAGTTCAAATCCCACTCCACCCCATCAGCTGAGTGACCTTGGCCAAGCTCCCTGACCTCTTAGACCCTCAGTTTTCTCCTCTATATCTTGTACCCACTTCAAAGGGCTGTTCTATATTTAGCCAGTTTACATATTGTAAAAGTAATATAAACTGAGCCACTTCAAAAATGAGTCAGAGTTACCATCCCAGAGGAACTGCCTGGCACATCCTACTCCTCAACCCTTTGGAATGTTAAAGCAGGGCAAAATAACCTTTGGACTGGGCCGAAAGTAACACTGTATTCCAGACAACTGTTTGCAAAGCAAACAGGAAAGCTGATGTTATGACTATTGGCATGAAAATCAAAGACATTCTTTAGAATTAGCATCACTATGTTAGCTTATCTGCATCTATAGAAATGCCTTTCTTAGTTTATTAACACATAGAAATTCCTTCTATTCATGTAATTATTCCTCTTCCCTTTCTTATAAGTACCCCTTGCCTTCACCTCCTAATTGGAGCAATATTTGGGTTTCTGCCGGAATCCATGCTTCTGGAGTAGCTATTCTTTTTTATCTCAAATAAAGCCTTGTGTCTTCTCAATTTGGCCTTCTAAGTTTTAGGTTAACACTATATATATTCTATTGAAGTCACATTTATTCACTGCTTACCAGGAGGCAGTCCCTATGTGAAGTGCTTTACACACATCTGCTCCATTATTCCTCATGGCAAGCATAGAAGGCTGGTACTATATAATTTTTTAGATTTTTTTTATTATGAAATTTCCTCCATACAAAAATCAGCAAGCTCAAGGAATCCCCATGAACTAGCTTTAACAACCACCACCACCTTGTCATACTTATTTCATCGGTCCCCACCTTTTTCTTTTTTTTAAAATATAACTTTATTGATTTCAGAGAGAGGAAGGGAGAAGGAGAGAGAGAGATAGAAACATCAATGACGAGAGAGTCCTTGATCCGCTGCCTCCTGCATGTCCCCTTGCTGGGGATCGAGCCCGCAACCCAGGGATGTGCCCTGACGGGAATCGAACTGAGATTTCCTGGATCCTAGGTCGATGCTCAGCCTCTGAGCCACACTAGCTGGGCCCTACCTTTTCCACCTTTTTTTTTTTTAAGTAAAATCATCCCTGATTACTTCAGAATATTTCTCAAAAATGGTCATTTTCTTACTGAGTTACAGTGCTGTTGTCACACCTAACAAATTAACAATAATTTCTTAATTCATCAATAACCTGTCTGTATTCAAATGAAGGGCAACAGAGTTCACCACTCCAAAAAATAGGCTTCTTTGGGGATATTGATTATTTTAGGGTGGTTATTTTTAAGAAAGAGCAAATGAGGGAGAAACTCTGAAAATCAGGTTCAGGGGAGGGGGTGTTGGGTGGAGGTAGAAGAGGGTATAGGAGGAATAAATGGTGGTGGGGAAAAAATAAAATAAAGAAAAAATTAAAACAAAAAATAAATAAGTATATTTCTGTAACAAAACAAGGAAGGAAGGAAGGAAGGAAGGAAGGAAGGAAGGAAGGAAGGAAGGAAGGAAGGAAGGAAGGAAGGAAGGAAGAAGTTACCCTTTGTAAAAGGACATCTGTAAAAGAAAATCACCATTTGTTAGGGTGTTTTCCTCACTGTACCAGGAAGAGGAGGGTATCTAAACCTTGGAACTTATCAACGAAGAAGGCAGGACTTAAATTTTCATAACTATTACTCTTGTTTACTGTGTTTTTCCTGGTAACCCCCACCCCCACCCCGTA